TCCGAAGCAGATGAAGACTTCTATATAACAGTTCAAAGGAGTCGTCGGAAGGAGCAAGCGGAAAGCATCAAAAAAGGAGCTACTGGCATATGCGGGTAATACGGTGGCGTCTGGCTGCTGGCGGGTGAAACAGCAAGTCATTAAAAGGCTTCTATATTCGGTCCAGTACAATATGCTCACTATTGTGAGTAATTTACAGGAAGCCACGCCCACTCCTTTACTTTTGCTACTCTGCAGTGCTGTTGTTGCATCTGAACTACAACTAAAGCTTACAAAAGTAGCAAATGCATAGATAGCGAAGACAAAGCTACATTCCCAATATCAGAAACTACCTTTGCACGGCAGGGAATAGTCCTCTGAAGAATTTGCATCTCTATGTTACTTATATGTTGTTTTGCACTTTGTCCCGAATAGGGAGCAAAATGACAAAGGCAGCAAAACTGCCATCAGATACCCCGCTGCAGCTGTTCCAGCTGGTTCCTGCAGCTGCTTCAGTTGCCGCAGTTGCCTCAGTTGCTAGTGCTGATTCAGTCGCTGCAGTTTATCCAGCAAGTGCAGCAGCTGCATAATGGAAGGTGTAAGGCATAGATTTGAGAATGATTAAACGTTCTTGGCCTTTCTTTAAGAGGGAAGGACAGCTGCTGCTGTCCCCGCGGATCCTAGGCGCTGCTAGTAGTTGCTGCTGCTGCTGTTTCTTCGCCTTTCCGCCACTCCTCTACAGTCTGTCGGATCATCTCATATGCAGCAGCCTATGAACACAAAACGCATTCCCAAAATATGCATTCATGGATGCACCTATCGATGCTACTTGCTGTTTCACACTCCTTCTGTCTCTAACCCTATGGAGCTGTCTATTGTTCGTTACGTTTCGTTTGTCCCTTATTTATTTAGCAACTATTTATCATTTATCATTTATTATTATTTTCTATTTACTCGTGTCTTTGCAATGCCAAGGAATCCTGTGGCGTGGCAGAAGACAAAATCATCGGGCGTTAAACCAGCATCACCACCCCCGCTGCTTTCGTTGTTGTTGATGGTGCTGCTGCTTGCTGCTGCTACTGCTTTTTGCTGCTGTTGCTGCTGCTGCAAGACTGCCTGTCCTAACTCGAGGTCTCTCATTCCCCTCCATTCTTTCTTTAGCGGCAATCTACTTTTAAACTTGTCTCGTTCTTCAGGGATACAACGTACACTCCAAGTAGTAATACTATTCTTTCCCTCGTCTCTTTTAGTAGTTGGATATAACACAAACTTGAAACAATCAACCATATCAAGCTCCCTCTCAAGGTCGTACAAATGATCCTGCAACAACCAAAGCAGCAACAGGGGCAGCAGCACGATAAGCAACAGTAAGAGCAGCGGGCATGTGTAGGTATTAGACACTGCTTTGTATTTAAGGGACACTTGGCTCCCTTCTCAATTTACTTTAAAAAATGCATTGTTAGACGACAAAGCAGGGAAGAAATTAAAAGATGAGGTCACAGAGTTGAATCATTCGACCCGGTGTGTCAATCTGTACTATGGGGAAAGAAAGGAATAAATGAACAAATGAATGAAGAGGAACAGAGGCATAAAGGAGGTAAACAAGGGATTAAAAGACCGGAGGACATCTCAGATGCAGACGCACCTCAATAGGCATCCAATGATTCAACTCTATGACCTCATCTTTGAATTTCTTCTCTGCTTTGTTGTCTAACAATGCATCTTTTAAAGTAAATCTAGAAGGGAGCCAAGTGTCTCTTAAGTACAAAACAGTGTCTCTAAATGCCTCATCTGCCATCTTCAGTCCCTTCTTAAAACCCCACAGGGTCTCTGCATCTCCCCCTATTATTGGTATACTTAAAAAGGCACAAGGAGGGATCCATCCTTGTCCCTTTGCTGCTGCTGCTGCAGCAAACGCTGCTGCCCCCTTTTCTTCCTGCTTCCACGCCTCCTCTAAGGCATATAATTGATATTCCCATGCAGAAGCAGCATCCATAACATCTGCGTCCACTTCCCCTCTATCCACTGAAGGATAAAGGGCACCTATCCTTGATGCCAAGGTCGTTGTTTCTTTATATAAAGGAGCAGAAGAGGGACAAATGCTAACACCGTTATCGTTTGCGTCTACTGCTTCCAGCAGGTGTACATACACTCCATACATCAATAGACGCACCGATTCTGGATCCTCAACCCCTGCATGAAAAAACGCCATTACATCAATTCTCAAACACTTCAAAACGGCATACAACCACTTGCGTATGCACACCAAAACACCCCTGTTAACACTAATACACCCAACTATTAATACGCCCTCACAGAGGATAAAAAAACCCCTTAAATCCTGATGAACGAACCCATAATAGCCAAATGGGCTACAAAAAAATACTGCCTTACTATACTATGCCTTACTATACAGGGGGGAGTCTATTTATTAGAAACCATAAAAACCAAAAAACACTCACCATATCTTTCCTTAAGGATTCTTTCTCCATAATGAAGAAATATTAATCCTGCACTACTCAACTTCGTCACTGGCTTCCTCTTCATCCGCTTGCAGCTCTCCTCTGCGTTCTGGGACCCATCTCGATCCCCATTTCCATTCCAACCCCGCTGGGATCCACTGCTTGCGAATCTGTCGAAATCAAAGTACTGTTGGAAAGATCGTTGATGATGGTCAAAATGGTTATTTTTGAGGTTATATTCGCCGCCAACATCAACTAAAATGCTGCATTTTTCTAGATCGTTGTTGTCCCTTGATCGGCAAATGCGACTATTCTTAAATTCCTTTAAAGATAGTAACATCGTACACGCCAATATCTCGTCCAAATGATACCTGCATAAGTATGAATACATATGCACGTGTCTCCATATATCTCCATATGTTTGTACTTATATGCAAGTAGTATACTCCTAGATATATTTTTGATAATATATTGCCAAACATATTACTACAAATATATTGTAATGAATACAAAGATCAAGAATAATAAGTAATAATAAACATAGGTAAATGAACGGAATATATGGAAAAAAATGAAACAAAACCACTAAATAATAATATGCATATACAAAACACCATATAAATACAAGCATAATGCCAACACAAATAATTCAAAAACTTTGATAAACAACTATAATGTTTCTCACCGTCCATCATGAGTACCAATAACAGGGCCTTCCATCGCCCAAAACTCCTCTCGCGATATTCGCACACGAGGAACTGCAGCAACCACAGCAGCACATGCAGCTGCTGCAGTGGCTGCATCTGCTGCAGTTGCTGCTGCTGTTTGGCCGAGGTGAGAAGCCATTTTCATCTGTAGCAGTAACAGCACACGGAGCAGCACAAACTGCAGCAGCAATAGAATCTTGAGGACGAGAAGAAACAGCAGCAGCATAAGCAAAAGCAGGAGCATTAATAAATTCAACGATTTTTTCGAATGACGAGGACGATAGCAACAGAGGCAGATGTTAAATAACAAACAAGTAACAAGCAAGTACTCGATGAAGAACACATACATACATACATTCGTACACACACAGGAAGAAGTCCGCCGCAACAAGGGAAAAAAGGAATGGTGACACGCGA